TCCGATACACACTCGCTGAGATCTGCCCGTAAGAAAATCGGTTAGCCCTTTCAACAGATTTCCACTCACACCCACTTGACGTAGTTTAAATATAAGTCGTTTGTGTGGGACACTGTCAGAAGCCTTTCTGGAGTCATTGTACACGGCGTCGACTGATAAACCCATCTCGATTGATTTCGTCCAGCTCTTCATGGATGCAAGCAAGGTAGTGAGACCGTATCGACCCCTTGATAATCCATGCTGATGCAAACTGGGCAGGTGGTTTTCTTCAAGATGCCGCATCAGGTCCGTTTTTATTACCTTTTCCATAACCTTACAAAAGATGTTGGCGAGACGCGCTGGTCTGAAACTATTTAAGGATGATCTCTCGCCACCTCCGATTCTCGGCGAATCGGAATGTCGTGACACTGCTATCATACCGCAAATATTTCTCAACGAACTTTACATTCGACATCATAGTTCATAAGCGTAACTTAAATGTGTGTATTCCCGGTTCCATTTTCTCTTTTCTCTTATTCTCGAAAATGGGGAACATGCTCTACTACTGCTGAACATGAAACCAGCACTACGAGATGCTTACCAACAATTTTTTTTCAGCAGGATTCCTCACCGGTTGAACGGGAGAAATCGAGGAACCTCAAGATCGAACTCCACAGAAGATACAATTCCGGCGAGAAAAACCTAAGAATAACGAAAGGGAAAATCACAAATGATAGGAGTTCACTCCTCCATTAGCACTGGGCATAATGAACAACCAGTTTCTGAGGGAGACGAATTAAATTAAAGAAGTGACAGAAAACCAAGAGGTACTGGTAACCGGTGACTTCAGCGCACCCATGGTCGACTGGAACAATTCATCAGTAGATGATTCGCGAAATTCCTTTGATTGCAGGCTCTTGAATCTAACGGCTAATCTTTTCTGGTACAAAACGTTACACTCCCAACCAGGATCAGGGAGGACCAAAGGGCAAATGGTCTGGACCTCATTCTTACAAAAGACCCAAGAAGTGCTGGCGAAATTAGGTCCATAGCACCGCTCGGTAAGAGTGACCATGTCATGCTGTTTTGGATATACCGCCTATGCCGCCAACAAGTGAATACGACTGAGCCTCGGCTGAATTTCTGGCGAAAAGATTTTGCCGCCATGAGAAGGGAATTATCGGAAGTGGACTGGAATGATGTCCTTTTCGGACATCCAGACGTTGATTGGAACACTCTCAAAGAAGTTGTAACCGACAGCAAGCATCGAAACTGTCCGACGAAGAGGATCAAAAAGAATAATTGTCCTGCCTGGGTGAAGCGGAATATAAGGAAAAAAGTAAGCCCGAAGATCAAACTATGGAGAAGGTATGCAACAACAAAACAACCATCTCATTATAAGCAGTTTCGTTGAAAGCGAAACGAGGTAAGGTCGGCTATGCGGAGATCGCGAAAGGAGTATGAAACGCGAGTTATGGAACGGACCGTCAATAAACTAAAAGTGCTGTTCAGTTACGTTAACGGTAGGTTAAAGAACAGGGAGACAGTCTTAGTGTTGAAAGGAGAATACATTGAGGACATCATCGAAAATGACGTTAAAGCAGAACATCTTAGCCGGTTATTCTTATCTGTTTTCACCGAGGAAACGGACTTTGACGAGGCTGGATTGCCAGCTTGAACAACCGACGAAATAATAGAAAACGTCGATTTCACGGAAGAAGATGCGAGTTAAGAACTTCTAGCACTTAAGGAGGGTAAGCCTCAGGGTTCAGACCAAATACCGGCAAACGTTCTGAGGGAGTTGGCTTGCGAACTCGCCAAACCGCTTTTTACTAACTGCAGATCGTCCTTTGTTTGAGGCATTCTCCCCTCTGATTGGAAAGTGGCAAACATATATCCCATTCACGAGGGTGGAGTAGAACATGAGCAAAGATTTATCGGCCGGTGAACCTAACGTGCATTTGTTTCAAAGTCATTTATAGAATAGACAAAATAGCCATAATGAAGTTACTTCAAGAAAACAACTTCATTTCTAGTTCACATCATGGCTTTCACCGAAATCACTCCTGCCTAACTAATATGCTCTATTCAACGGAACAGTGGTCCTGCTCGTTAGACGAAGGAAAAAGGGTCGATATCGTTTACACCGATTTCAAGAAAGCCTTTGACAGTGTTTCACACCACCGGTTACTTTACAATGTCCAAGAGTCAGGGCTAAGGGGAAACCTATTAAACTGGAAAAAGGACTTTCTGACTGGGCGATCACAGTCTGTGTGTATTGGTAGTGAGAAGTCAATGCCAGGGCCAGTTATGAGTGGAGTTCCACAGGGCTCTGTACTCGGACCAGTACTATTTTTAATTTATGGTAACGACTGTATGAATGGACTGGACTGCAGTAAAGTCATGCTTGCCGATGACATTAAGTTACGGCGAGCGATCAACGGGGAAAAGGAAGAACGGGCCCTGCAAGATGGACTGAACCGCCTATACGAATGGTCTGGCAAATGGCTGCTGAAGTTTAACCTTGAGATGTGCGGCGCGCTGCGACTCAAATGAATGGAAGAGCCGATGGAGAAGATCACCATTACCTGCTTGGTGGAAAGGGCCTTTCAAATGGGACCGAGAAAAAAAATCTTGGGATCAACATTTTGTCGACTTTTAAACTTTTCTCTCAGTGGGTTAGGGCGGCCAAAAGGGCAGCCAGTGTTCTCTTTGCAATTAAACGAACTTTCATAGATATAGACAAAGGGTTATTTGGAAAAGTGTACGGAGCGTTCATCGTTCGCATCTGGAATATGGGATCCAAGTGTGGCACCCGTGGCTAAAAAAGACTATAAGTTGCTAGAAAGAGTTCAGAGGAGAGCGACAAAAATTGTGAAAGGCCTCAGGACTTAACCATACAACTGCGGACTTAGTGAACTTAACTTATTTTTTCTTGAGCACAGTCGGATTCGAGGAGATCTCATACAGGCGTAGTGAATATTGAGGAACCGGGACTGTGCCTTAAACCTCGACGATCTCTTCATCCTGGGCTCAACAACAAACATGCGTGGGAACTCTTTAAAATTTAGAGGATCCCAGTGCCATCTGGGCGTTCGCAAATATTCTTTTTCACAGCGATTTGTCGGTGCCTGGAACGGGCTTTCCGAGGGCGTGATAATGGCGGACTCTATAGAGACATTCAAGAAAAGACTAGATGTATATTTGCTTGGAAAATACCGCTTGTCTGAACATAACAACTCTGTTGTGCCAAACCAACGCCTTGCATAACTTTCCGCTAATGCGGATGACTGTCATTTCATTTTACTGATATTATCTACCACGGAATGTTCTCGAGTTTTGGTCATGTATTTTCCGTGGAAAATATTCTGCTAAGTAGATACGTTACTGAAAACATTTTAGTACCATGTTTAGTTAAAGGTTGATATTGCGTGTACCGTTTTCAATAGGGTTTTCAAAGGCATTGTCTATTACCCTTAAAATATACTGACCCATACTGACCTAACTGACTTTCATTAATTGAATTATCAGTCGCTAAAAGCCTTTAAGCAACAGATGCTTGTGTACCTTTCAATAAAGCCCCGCGTATTAGTTGTTCGTAAGACTATATGAGACTACGTTAGGAATACATAAGATTATATGAAAAAGCCGATCCATCTGCCTACAAAATAGTGTTATCCGAGATTGTGGCCGACTGAGTTGGGTTCCTCCTGTCTCGTCACCATGGCGTTTGCTTCTGCAGTCATCCCGAAAATGCTATGATCGCATCGGCAGCGAGGAGCCTCGTCCGCCTTGGAAACTCTACTTTGACGAGAAACGTTTCGAACCCGTGCGTCCTTGCACTTGCAGGGTGGTCCTGTCAAAGACGTATTTACCTCACCATACGAGATAGATTTTTCTTGCTGAAAACTAATCAAACTGTCTTTATTTTGCCGTTTGCAAAAAAGATATTTATTATTTGTTATTAATTTATTAGTATTGTTGTGAACAGCAACAGTATCAGTGCTAAGAATCATTAACTGGAAACGATTAGAGCAACAACAAAAACGACTATGCCATCACCGGATAATAAAATTCGAAGGCGGACACTTCAAGGTGCAACGCTTTGGCATGCCATTTCCTGTAATGCACTTAAAGTAAGTGGGTAAAGACGAAATGATGGCTGAATTAAGAATCATAGTAAAAAAATCGCCTATGGCTTTCAACGACACATGCGGCGGCTAGAATGACGGTGCATTTCCATACGCCGACACATTCGACAAACATCGTCTGCCGTGTCCGAGCGAAACTTCAGCATTTAGCGGATTATGCACCCGGAAATGAAGCTAAGACTTTACCAAATGCTTGTTCTTACAGTACATGAATACTACTGTCATTTCTTTGGTTTAATGAACGCCTGCGACGTAATAAAATCGAAAATGTTCAGAGGGTTTTCACGTGGAAACTGTTCTCTCAAGCTTCGTCCGGCATTTCTTATATTCAGAGATGTCAGCTGGCGCACATTAAGTTTTTGCGGGCTAGAAGATCAGAAGCTGGCCTTTGCTTCCTTTTTCGCATCAACTCTAGCTCCAATCTTCCGCTCATTGACACTCTCACCCCGAGAGATCGGTCTTATGCCTTGCGCAACTCCTGCATGGTGATTTCGCCGCCTCTTTGCACCACATCAAAGCGTTCCCTCTACTTTGCTTCCACATATACTTCCCTTTCCGCCTGAAATTAGGACATCGTCTAAGTTTCTGGTATTCAAGTCGAAATTACATCAAAATCTTACACCCGAAAACATAAAGGCACTGTTAACGGTCTCATTCCCGAACACTCAGATGCTTGACTTCTAGAAGGGTCCTCCTGGTATTCAGTTCAGTTCAGTTTATTGAGGGAAATAGGCGTAAGCATTTGAGTACACTATTTGTAACGTAAAGAATGTGTGGTGTACAGATAGATGTTTTGGGCTGAAATAGTTCGAACACGCCCATAATGGTGGGACAAAATTGGAAGGAGTTACAGGGGATGAGCTCGACTTCTCATCGCTCTTGGTCATTTCGGAACATAAATATGTCCAGATTCTTCTTAAAACTTTGTATAGATGGTGACATCACAACATCTGCGGGAAGCTCATTCCATGGTTTGACCACCCGAACCGAGAAGGAGAACTTCCGCACATCCAGCCGTGCCTGCTGAGTGCGCAGTTTTAACGGGTGACCTCGGAGGTTGGTCGTGGTAGCAAATTCAAAAAAGTCCTCGAAGACCAGACTGCAATCCAATCCCTTTACAATGCGGAAGGCTTGCAAGAGATCTCCGCGAAGTTGCCTGTACCTCAAAGGAAAGAGGTTCAGATTTACTAGGCGGGTTGCATAAGGAAAGGAGCTTTGACCCCTAACCATCTTCGCGGCTCTCCTCTGGACTCTTTCGAGGCAGTTTTGATCCTCAACAGCCCACGGCCTCCAAGCTTGTATGCCATACTCTAAATGCGGCCGGGCGAATGTCCCGAATGTCTTAGAGAAAGCTTCTTCGTCAAAGTCCATAAACGCACGCTTGATGGCGTACAGTACGGACATTGCGCTTTTTGCCACCCTCGAACAGTGGGCGGAGGGTTTTAGGGAACTCGTCGTAAGCACACCGAGGTCCCTTTGGGCTTCGACCTCTTGTAGGGCTGCACCGCCCAGAAAGTAGCCTCTTGTGCTGGCAGATCTGGCTGTGTTGCCTAGGCGAAGTATGCTACATTTGGCAACGTTGAACCGCAGGAGCCGACGGTTTGACCACTCCTCCAACCGATTCAGGTTCATCTGCAGTCTGTCTTTATCGGCAGGACCCCGAATTACACTCCATATCTTCATGCCATCCGCAAACATTGCTACTTCACAGTCTAAATCTTTTGCGGCATCGTCCACGTAGATAAGGAATAAAATGGGTCCCAGAACTGAACCCTGGGGGACACCACTATCGACCATAGCCGGATCTGATTTTCCCCGACCGACGCACACAACCTGGTGTCGACCCACAAGGAAGTTTTCGATCCATTTAAGGAAGTTGCCACTGATCCCTATTTTTTCAGCTTATGTAAGAGCCTTTGGTGTGGCACAGTGTCGAAAGCCTTCTGGAAGTCGATGAAGGCTATGTGGACCGCGTGCCTGTCGTCGAGAGCTCGGATCCAGCTCTGGAGAGATTGCAGCAGGTTTGTTGTGCAGGATCTTCCTTTTCAGAACCCATGTTGGCATTTCGATAGCAGGCCGTGAACTTCCAGGAATTGCATCAGTTCCCTCTTTATGATCCTTTCCATAACTTTGCAGAGAATGCATGTCAAGCTTATGGGCCGGTAATTTGTCGTCGCTGCCCTGTTACCTCCTTTGTGTAGCGGAGTAATATGCGCCAGCTTCCAATCGACAGGAAGTGTTCCAGTGTCAAATGACGTTTGAAAGAGCATCGACAAAGGCACAGAGAGCTCACTGGCAAGTTCCTTCAGACGTTTGGGTGGAATCTCGTCTGGTCCTGGCGACTTCGATTCGTTCAATGCCTCTAATTCTCTTCGGACAATGCCGCAGCTCAATTTCAAAGATAAGTGAAGCTCTGCATTTATCTGGATATTCTTAAGTAATTAATGCCTGTTTTTTACTTGAGTCCGTTTTAAAAGGCGCCTTTCTATATAAGGTAAAATTTTTTCCCAGTTTGTTTGACAGTCTGGCAAAATAGTCGTATTTTGTAAAAATCCATTGTAGTGAATCCTTTCCCTACTACCGCTTTCTAGTTTTGGTAGTAAAAAAAACAGTAATACTTGCTACTCAGTGCGCGTTTCCGTTTTGATCCCTCTTCTGTAACGGAAAAGCTTTTTTTTGTCTGTAATGCCCCGCAGAGCACGTGCTAAAAGGCGAAAGCTTGCGGCCTCCCCACCGTCTCTGGGTGCTAAAATCGTAACTGAAGACATAGCAGGTGCCAGCGTATGTTCTTCGCCGTCCGCAGATCTGATTAACTCACAAATCCCTTTAGTACATGTAGAACCTCTCGACCCTTCAGCCGTCCAAAAATACGCCTCTGCTAGTCGTTTCAGGCCATCAGCCGGCGAAATAATCGATCAGCTGATTTATGGAGACATAAACAGCACTTCTGAAAAAGTGCTTGAACAAGCTTTTAAACTTATTGGGGTAATAAGTTCGGAAACTGAGGAACGAATTAAACGCAAGCATAATTTCGTACTGCGAAACATTCCGAGCCACTTATCTGCTATGGAGGGAGCGCATGTGTTCCTACAAAGTTGTGGCTTGAGTTTTAGTGTCGCACAAGCTAAGCGACTTCGCTCGCTTAGTCGTAATGCGCCGATACTAGTTACCCTTTTCTCCATGATAGAAGTCGATTTTATCTTGTCGAGTAGGGAGATGACTAGAGATTTCTGTCGTAAATGGCGCTGCTCCGTTTCGCCAGACCTCACACCCCTGCAGCGAAGACTGAATAAACTGAAATCGGCAAAAACCAACACCAAGATAATGACACCTACTGTCAGTCTGAACATGTCCTCTACAACACCACCTGCGGCATCTGCAAGTCACGGCATAGTCAATTCCGTAGGGGGTTCGACTACTTTTAATGCTGACCTCTTTAAACACACCACCACGCCTGGTATAAACACGCCTCTATCGACTCCCTCAGCAACCCCTAGTAAGCCTAAGCATGTGCCTAAGTCAAAGGCAAATCCAATTGCTGTCTCAGCCACTCGGACACCCAATAAATCCAGCACCAGTATAAAATGTTTTCCTCCACAATCGGCGAACAGTGCCTCAAATACCCCGACTCAAAACGTAGCGGGTTCCCAACTGCCCCCCAGCCCTCATATCAAGGCAGTTAGGCCGAATATGCCGATTTTCCCACCGTTTAATAGACCTCTTGTTCCAATGGAAACAATGCGTCCCCCACCCCCTAACTTGTTTCCTCCACGGCCGTTTTACCAATTTATTCCTCATGATAATGTCCATACTGAATCAGTTAATTCATCCGATCCTCAGTTGCGTCCCGGCGGGAATACGTTGGAGTATCTGCCCCGCGGATTTCCAGCTGAAAATAAGTTAGATAACAATAGTTACCAGTTCACCTGCCCGTCGTTCCCTCCCCCAAGTCCTACCCCTTTTTATCCACGTCAGAATTTTTTGATGCTACAAAATTTTTTGCAGAACCGGATGGTTGCATCCGGACCGTTTGCTCCGTGGGAGACCCAGAACTGGACGATGTAGCCCACCTCCCTCAAAAACTAACAGCCTTTCCCTTCAAACTTTTTGTTTTAAATGCCAGATCCTTGCTTAATAAGATGCCTTTGCTTCAGACTCAGGTTTTCGTCCATTGTCCAGATATTGTTTTAGTAACTGAGACGTGGGCATCAGCCTCAGTAGCTGACTCCGAACTCTCTCTTCTAGGCTACAATTGCATTCGAAATGATCGCCAAGATAGCCGTGGTGGGGGCAGCTGCGTCTACGTTAAGCAAACACCTACATGTTTGCCGTTGGACTTCCCGCACTTTTCAGCGGTAGAAGGCAGCTGCTGGCTCCAGGTTGCACTAAAAAATAAGTTATCCTTACTCGTTGGCTGCGTCTATCGCCCTCCCAACGCCAATGACAATTTTGATCGCTTACTCTCACAGGCATTTCATGCTGCGGCCGACTTAAG